TTATGATGTTCACAATGGATGGAGTAAAAAGATGATTGAAGGTGATTCTATGCTTATTATCCACTGTGTCAATCCGGCAGCTTCCATCCCTCGGAGTATTAGACTGCTTGTGCATGATATTATCTTGGTACGCTCCCTCTTTGAGGACGTGGCTTTCAAAAAAGTCTAATTCTGAATGAATTTAATTGTTGGGCATCAATAAAAATACACATTAAATATGTACAATTTCAATTATGTTGTTAAACATATTTTCATTTTAATAATATATTTGTCAATTGCATTTAATATTTATTTGTTTTACAAGTGATCCCATTGAAAACTTCTTTTAATTTATGATTTTTCCTTTTGTTTTTTTTCTTGTTAATTTAATTCGGGAACAGTCAAATTCAAGGAAGAAAAAGAAGAAGAAGAAAGTTTTATTAAGCTCACAACAGGTTATTGAAGACATTCGACAATCCATATTCTATAGCCGTATGTGAGGGTAGTCTGCGGGAATTACACAGTATTGGCTGACTGGTGAAATGTTAAAGCTTTTCTTCTGTGGTCTCGAACTTGAAGTCGAAGGTATTGGTGCCACAGTAAACCCCATCATCCATGTCGTTGGTAATTATTTTCCCACCAGCAAGAGTTACGCGCTGCGTATAGGAGAAGGGAACATCGTAAGAAGCCTTGGTCGCTAGAAGCCTCACCTTCACCATAGCCATTGCCTTTAGCACAACCTTATAAAAAGCATCCTCGTTTACACTACATGTGAATATTGTGGCCGTCCCGGTTTTTCTCCCCTCCACTGATCCTGCAAACTCATCAACCTCGATCTTTCCGTTGTCTGCCATGACTGGAACCTCACCGTCGATGATGCTTCTTTGGACGCCCAAATTGAACATGCTGGACTTCAAGCTTCCGCTCCTTGTTTTTTTATACGAGAAATTCAGCTCTAAAATTTGAGTTTTTTCGGTACGGTTAACCACCTCTCCGATGACAATTTCGACAACCTTCTTGTTGTAGATCATGGCGTCCCCGAGGCGGAAAGTGACGTTATAGATCTCCTTTGAAATTCCAAGCTCTTTCACCTCCTTGTTGTATGCTTCTGAGTCGTCGCTTGTAATTTTTTCAGTGACGGAAAAAATCTTGATGCTGGTTGAGTCATCTGCGTCAAGGCAGATCAAATCTCCCTTGGTCAGCCTCCACAATTTGCCCGAGGAATAGGAGAGGCCTCCATCAGCGCTGGCGAAGACCTCGTTCAAGTTGGTGCCGAGCAAGTTACCATTATGGCCCTTGAACGCCACATGTTTGGGAAGCATCATGAACAGCGATTCCCAATCGGTGACAGTGAACACATCGAACAACTTGGGGTTATGGTCTTTATCTTCTACGTACAAGCCTCCGCTTAGCTTGTCATTGGCCTGATAAATGGTTAGGTACTCTCCACGTCCGGTATGGCGGAATCGGAGCACCAGTATATGGTTTGTGCTTTTATCATCGCCGACTAGGAAATCATCATTTATGTACACCGGCTCGAACAAGGTACACGAGTACTTAGATTTGTCTTCCACTGGTTCATCAGCCACAGCAGCGATCAAGTAGCTATTAGAGCTACGCCTTACCCAGTATTTGTTGTTGTAACAACACTTAATATGGACAAGCCCCTCATTGCCGCTACTCCTTGCCATCTCCACTTCAAACTTGGCATATTGGCTCCCTGCCTCTTGTCCAGAGAACTTGAGATACCCTGCTGGCACATCATCATCTATGTAGCGCAAGTATTTCCCGTTGGTGTTTGATGTCACCACGACAAACCTTGGTAGGGTTGGCATTTTCTCTCTTCTTTCTCTCACTTTAATTCCTCAATTCTGTGTGCAAGATACATTCACTACAAAAAAAAGTGGGCAATAGACTGTTGAATTATATATAATAAAAACAAAGCTAACTATTAACTCAAATCAATAAAATATTACAAATTTTCAAGTTTCCAATACACTTGTAAGTTCCCAATATACTTTTAAGTTCACGATAAAAGATTTTTCAAGTTTCCAATACACTGGTATTTTTTTTTTTTAAAAGACTAAAGCTTTTAATATGCACCGATAAACCAAAACCAGGCCAATTACCACCTAGTTTTCAACGTTACCAATGTTGTTTTGTATTAAAAATTCAAACTTTGAGTTTTTATTTTTATTTTAAAGAAACTAAAGCTTTTAATATATGCAAAAAGATAATTAATTAATTAGGGAATCAGAATTTTTTGGACATGCGATTTTATGAGGCGTCCATCGGACGGTAGAGAAGATTCAAAGAGGCGTAGGAAGCAATCAGTCACCTTACTTTGGTTGACTTTAAAGTTTGACCCGGCCAATAAGAGGAGCGTATGAAATGTGTTATATAAATTTTATTGAGGAAAACAAATTGCTTCAATGCAGATCCTCACAAGGGAGCCGAAGCAAGGCAACTGCATTCTTGACCCGAAAAAAAGAGAGATGCAACTGCATTCGCCTTGATAAATGGTGTGTCTGCCTAGGAGACCTCATCCCACCACCTCCACCCTTGTCGCCCAAGAAGAAATTTTAGCTATGGAACGAGAAGAATGACATTCAAGTATCTGGAAATTGCAACCAAATCGCAGATGGTTGTTCGCATTTGGTTAGTCTTCTATTGCAGGAAACTATTGTAAACCCTTATCAACCATATTCCAATCAGCTGAACTCTGTAGAGGCCCACATCAAAGCTATCACAATCGTCCGAATGATCAACAACCAAGCGTTCATCTTCAATATCTAGTTCTTCAATTTTAAAATTTGACCCAAGAATTTAAACCCCATCTTCCACTCTGTTCTATAATGACACTTCTTAGAGTCCTCTGTTTTGCACATTGTACTAATTTGTAACATAAAAAAACACCAGATGACAATTCGCATTGTTGCTGCTTGCCACAGTCCATAAATCCTTTGGTAGATTCCATTTATAATAATAGAAGAATCCATAAAAATCTTCACGAAGAAATGAGTTCGATTTTCTGGATATAACGTGTGCCTGAGAGAACACTAAAAGTACCTCTTCTTCCTGTTGTCTTGTCTCACATCCGATTTATAACTCAGAGCTTTGTTATCATAGTTTTTCAAAACAACATATTTCTGCAGAATTACCATATATATGTGTCAGTGCAGCAATCAAGCCCGGTCAACTCTCCTCCAATTCCTCTACAAGATCTTCTCCTTCATTGCCTTGATTAGATATAGCTGTCACTGATTCTAATTACTGATTAATTGTAATTGATCGTATTTCATATTTCTTACCTTTTGTATCTCTACTAAAGTGTGTATATAATCTGTATCAATGCTAATCAAATATTCATCAGGAAATTCTCTTTTTCATGGCATCAGCCTTTCAATTCTTCCCTTGAAGTCTCACCCTATCTTTCTTTCCGATCCTCATGGCCTCCTCTCTTCCCGGCCCAAACACCTCCCACTTCCTCAAACTTGACGCCTCCAATTATCTTCTCTGGCTCCGCCAAATGAAGCCGTTCCTCATCGGTCATGACCTCTGGAAGTTTGTCGATGGATCAAATCCTTCACCATCTGAATTTATCACTTTAACTACCACTACTCCCTCTGCTGCCCCCGACACTCCCTCCTCAACCACTACTGTTACCAAATCTAAACCTGATTTTCCCTCTTGGTACCAATAGGACCAACTCATCAGCTACATCACCACAACTCTATCTCCTGCTGTTCTCTTCTTAACGGTGGGTCATGAATCTGCCCAATCAATTTGGGAGTGCTTGCGGAACCATTATGCCCAATGCAATCTTGCAAGTGCGTCCAGCCTTCGATTCCAACTTCATGACATGACAAAAGGATCTCAAACGATAGATGAGTATCTCAATCATGCAAAATCTCTTGTCGATGCCCTCTTCTCCATTCAAAAGCCCGTCTCCGATGAAGATTTTGTCACGGCTGTTCTCTTTGGCCTTAGTTCTGACTTCTCCATGCTTATCACCACCATCCTGAGTCAACCCACTCTGCCAAGCTTCACAGACCTCCGCTCTCGTCTGCTAGTCCTTAAGAACCAGACCTCTCCCTCCTCGGCCTCCGCAGACAATACCACAGCCCCTCATCACCACTCACCCTCCATCTCAGCCAGGCTCATCCACCTCTCACCAAAGATCCTCCCATCTGTGCGGTGGTTCTCGTGGCAGGGGCCATGAGTTAAAAACAAAAAACAAAAACAAAAAGAGAAGTGCTATATGCTCGAAGCACACAACATTAAAGGAAGAGTTCACTAAGGCCTTTTGTCGGGGAGTTCACCAAAAGACTTAGCAGAGGGGCAACTTTCAGGCACTTCCAAGGCTTTCTTTGGCTAGGGGAGATGCAGCTGCACCTCCTTGCGCTTTTGTAGGTCCGTCAGTGTTCTTTGTGTGTTCATTTACAAGCCCAAATCGTACAGTAAAAGTCTTTCCACATCTTTTTCCAATAGTTTTTGGCTCTAGAAAATGGAATGTCTCTCCTCATAACAAACGGATGAGATGTACTGGCTTAAGCTCTCCCTTTCTTTTACAAACGTAAGCATACATCGAATTGAATAAAAATAATGGTAACAGAGATCCCTGGTAAGGTCATCATAAGTCCAAATTTCAAATGTCATTGTTCGTTTTAGTTTATTTTTTTCCCCTTTATGACCATATATAACAGTGTTAGTGTATAACCTATAATCAAATTCATAAATACTAATTTAAACATCAGATGCCTTTTCAAATGTCATTCATTTTTTTATTTTTAAAATCAGAAAGAAGCTTACATTCAATAAGGAACCGAAATACAACATTAAAGAAATATTGGAACTCAACACACTGCATAAATGTGGCCTCATTAAAACCTTACCTTCAAAAAATTCAAGAAGAGAAAAATCTGGTGAAGGAAAAAGAGTACCACACTTGCTCAAACAAAAGTAAAACAAACTAGTCATTATTTCATCGACACCTCTTTATTTCATGTGGAGAACATCAATCACAGGCTTTCTTGTATGGTCTCATACTTGAAGTTGTAGGAATTGACGCCAGTGTAAACGCCATCGTCCATGGTCTGGGTAACAGTTGTGCCGTTAATAAGCGTATCCCGCTGAGTGTAGGAGAATGGAACATCGCATGAGCCCCTAGTCGCCATGAGACTCACTTTCACCATAGACATTGGGGGCACAACAACCCTGTACACAGTCTCTACTTCACTTTCGGAGGTGTTGGTTTCCCCCCACTGGAATTCTGTCGCGAATTCAGTCGATATTTCAATCTCTCCTTTTGCAATCAAAGGAACTCCAGTTTGTACTTTGGTCGAGAGGCCCAACTTCATTGAAACGCTAGAATTCCAAGTACTGCTCCGGCTGTCTTTGTACGAGAGCCTCAAGTCTATTGTGTTTTCTTCTTGAGTTCGGTTAACGGCATCTCCGGTGGCCATGGAGACAACTCTTTGGCTATAGATCCGGGAGTCAAGGAGGCGAAAGTTAACGTTGTAAATGCTCCTAGACACAACAAGCTCTTCCACCTCCATTTGCGCCTCTTTGACGATACTAGGGCGGCCAGCATTGAGACAGGACTCAAACCCGTCCGTGGTCAGTCTAAAGCAGAAATTATCATTGCCCAAGTTGCGGAGAGCAACCTTGTTGTCATTAAGCTTAATAGGCCAAAACAACATGTCCTTGTTGCTTTCGTTACCATCAAGATTGGAGTCGGCCCAGATCCAGTTAGGGCTGCGCCTCCAGAACTTTCCAAAGTGATTGGATTTGATCCGAACACTCCCATCCCCGTTAGAGAACACCTCGTTCCCCACACTGGATTCTCCAACGTCAGTGGATGAGAATTGCAAGAAAGGGAGGCGCTTAAACGTGCGGGCGCTCAGGTATTTCCCATTGTCGCCCTTGAAGGAGACATGCTTGGGCAATACCAACAGCGTTTCCCAATCAACGATTAAGCAGATGTCGCACAAATCCTTGTCAGGCGCCGCAGATCCTGCAAACAAGCACGAGTCTTTTGGCGGGGCCACCCTCCATAAGCATGCATAGTGCCCGAGCTGGACGTGTCGAAATCGGACCCCTTGAGCGGGATCCTTATTGTCTACGTAGACGGGCTCGAACAAGGTGCAAGACCATTTGGATTGGTCTTCCTCGGGTTCATTCGCTCCAGCAACAATCCAATAGTGGTTTTCCGACCACCTGACCCAGTATTTATTGTTGTAGCAGCATCTTATGTGCACCAGTCCGTTCCCGCCCTTTGCCATCTCCACATGGAACTTTGAATACAGACTCACGACCTCATCACCGGAGAACTTGAGAAACCCATGAATCTGCACATCTTCCTTTACGTAGCTCAAGTATTTGGCATTGTACCTTGATTTCAACACCATATACCTTGGCAATGTGTTCACCATTTTCTCTTAATTAATTCTAGAAACAATGTATAGCTACTCTCTGTTAGGCGGTTCGAGAGGTCCCAGGAAGAAGATGGTGTGGTTGGTTGGAATTCGTCACTCTTCTTAAATAGACTTCAGAAAATAGAGTAAACAAATCATGATAAGATATAGGAAGATAGTGTAGGGTAAAGGAAGATTTTCATCCAGAAAATAATGGCAACAAGCTAAAAGGTGATACACGTGCACAAAAGGGGAAGAGACAAGGTAGATAGATGAAATGCAAAGAATCCAAGAATGGAAGAGCTGAGGAGATAAGAGGAGAAGGGCACGTGAACCATGTGGGAAAGCAATAATGCCACATAACATTAATGGTTGCAGCTTTAATTTCGTACGTTGGTTGGTGGCCTGGTTGGGTTTTTGTCATATGAATAATGTTTTCGTACTAAACTCATCAAAACTGCATTAATGGTTGCAAGTGAACCATGTAGACCACATAACATTAATGATTGCAGATTTCGTACATTGGTTGGTGGCTTGGTTGGGTTTTTGTCATATGAATAATGAACAATAATTACAAAAACAAATAAAGAAGATGGCCCACCATCCCCAATTCTATCGTTGTCTTCCTTCTCCTTGATCTTTTTCCTGCCTGCATCAGTTTCAAGCCATTTGTTGCTCCACATGAGTTTCATCTTGGACTATACTACTACAGCAAATAGGGGTTGATATGGTTTATCAGAAAATTGGGTTTATTTGATTTTATTTCGTGAGCAAATAGGTTTCGAAAGATGTTGTATAGGATGAAATTCACGTGTGGTGAGCAATAGGCATGGTCGCTTTTAAGCGATGCGAGAAACGTGTTGTATATGGCCCAAGATTTGGGATCTTCCGTGGCGCAGATGAGTTGGACACGATAAGGATTTTTGGAGATGGTGGACCAATAATTGTTTGTTTGTTTGTTTGTTTTTTTTGTTGTTCTTCGAATCACACTTTCAATTGACGAAAGGGAAATTTCAGCTTTTGTAAAAGACCAAAGACAAAACCAAAAAGACACAAAGCCTTTGCATATTTGGAACTAAAGACATGCAGGTCCTTCAACTAAAAAGCCAAAGACAGCATGTGAAGGATGCTGGCACAAAAGCCAACCAAGCCATGCAACAAAACACCATCAGACAAACCATGCAACCAAGAGCCTTGTCCCCTTATTGTACGGAAAATTCTACCATGGGCGTGGTGTATTCATGCGCCCAAATTACTAACCATTGGATGAGTAAGTGGAGATGTGGGTTAAATCCACACCATTGAATGTTGGTAACCGGTTAAAAGAGTTGCTGTAGGTAAAAGTGAATAAAATAAAACAAGAAAAGAAAAATAGAACGATTCAAAGGGAGAAGGGCAAAGAAGATGTTGAATTGCTGAGGCAATCCCACCAACTCTCTCTTCTATAATGTTTTGGACCTCCATATTTCATAAACTTGTAATATCATAAATTACAATAGAAAGGATCTCTATTACATGGTTAAGGTAATTGTGGACATTGGAGATGTAAAATTTGTACTTATTCTTGTAAATGCAATGGTTTATAACATTAAAGACTCATATTACAATGCTTTGAACGTAAGCTCTCCATAAACTCGTAACGCAAATCCTGAATCTCGTACATTACAATATTTAGGTTCTCATTTATGATTTTTTGCACCATGATTACAAGTCTGAGGTTCTTCCTTATCCCTAGCGTTGTAATATCCTGATTTAGAATTGAAATGATCCCTCTTACAATGATAAGGTAAGGGTAGACTTTGGAGAAGTAAAGGTGGTCTTTATTCTTGTAAACATAAGGGTTTATAGTATTAAGGACCTCTTTTACAATGGTTTGGACCTCCATGTTCCATAAACTTGTAAAGTGTATCCATAAACTTGTAATATCATAAATTACAATAGAAAGGATCTCTATTAAATGGTTAAGGTAATGGTGGACCTTGGAGATGTAAAATTGGTACTTATTATTGTAAATGCAATGGTTTATAATATTAAGGACTCGTATTACAGTGCTTTGGACGTAGGCTCTCCATAAACTCGTAATGCAGATCCTTAAACTTGTACATTACAAGATTTGGGTTCTCATTTATGATTTTTTGCATCATGATTTCAAGTTTGGGGTTTTTCCTTATCCATAGCGTTGTAATATCCTGATTTACAATTGAAAGGATCCCACTTACAATGATAAGGTAAGGGTAGACTTTAACGTTGTAAATGTGGTCCTTATTCTTGTAAACACAAGGGTTTACAGTATTACGGACCTCTTTTACAATATTTTGGACCTCCACGTTCCATAAACTTGGAACGTATATCCATAAATTTGTAATATCATAAATTACAATAAAAGGATCTCTATTACAAAGATAAGGTAATGGTGGAACTTGGAAATATAAACGTGGTTCATATTCTAGTAAACGCAACGATTTACAACACTAAGGGCTTGTATGCAATTACTGTTGTCTGTTTGGCAATTGCATCACAGTATGCAATTATCATCGCCTGGACAAGAAAAGAAAAATAGAACGATTCAAAGGGAGAAGGGCAAAGAAGATGTTGAATTGCTGAGGCAATCCCACCAACTCTCTCTTCTATAATGTTTTGGACCTCCATATTCCATAAACTTGTAATATCATAAATTACAATAGAAAGGATCTCTATTA